CCCGAAACCGTTTCCGTTGTTTTCTTATCCTGCCGCAACCATATTGGTCGAAAACATTGCAACAAAACAACAAATATATCAAAAAAGAAGTTGCTTCCAAGAACAGTTGTTCGTGACAACGTATTTTGGCTGCAAAGGCTCTAGACTCTCTAGACTCTAGCTTTTACCACATCGTGTCCTGTCCTTTCCACCTGGTGAAGATACATCAAATTGGACAACGGACAAAATCACTCTTTTTCCAGATATGTGATTTCAACTCTTTCCTGCCAAGGCTCTCTCCTTTCATTGGGAAACTTGCCTTTATTGTAAATGACTCATCTGCTTGTGGCACCTCATTCGTCACATAGGATCTCCGGATGCTTCCCCACAGCCAGGGCTATTCACTGCAGGTGGCAGTATGGCTCACCCTTTTGCTGCAAAGTTGCAGGTGGAACTGGCATGGCCCTTTTGCGGGGCTTGCCCCTTTTTCAAGGCAAAGGCAACAATTGCTTTGGGGCTCCAGGTTTGGTGGCTGTCACATGTTTGGAGATGTTTGTGACCTGGATTGAAGCCACTCAACTGACGAAAACCACAAGCTCTATCTTCCTATAAACCAACAAGTGGAAGGAAACACCCTAGTCTTGATTGAAGCAAACCAAATAACTGTTTTAAACAGACACCAGTCGCGTATTGGTTTATTTAAGAAAACATTGGTTTCAATCTTTGTCTTTCAAAAACAATACTTTGTGGTGTTGATGTGAGATATTTGCAAACAAGGGCCACTGGACGAAGCTTCGCCAAGGAAACACATTAAGTGTCCACTCAAGTACTATCGTTGAAACCTGCTCTGCAGCATTAGAAAGCACACGCTCGACCGCAGAGGTGGCAACATATGGTGTTTTGCATGTATGGTTCTTTTGCATGGTGTTGCTTTCCGATTTGTTCCAAAACTTGATGTGAGGACATCATCGATTTCCGTGGCAAGGAGTTTCCGACAGCTTTCTGGGAAGTCTTGGCAAAGAGGCATTGAACACATGCTTGCTCACGAGAAGCTTGCAACATGCAGAGCTGAACTTGATCAACGCATGGTGCAAGAGGTGCTTGAAGTCGATGCATCTATTCGAGCCATTGGAGTTAAGTATCCTGGCCCGTGCCTTCGATCGGCCTGCGCCTACGAGCCAAGAACACGAGCCTGTTAAGCGCCACGCCATCTCGATAGATACGATTGCATTTGGCAATTTAAAGCATTGCTTCTATAGCTAAAAAAAAATGAATTCTGGAGCCGCTCTACTCAGGCCAGACATGGCAGGTTCCCGGAGAGATGTTTTTGGGCCCATGGCTGCGCAGGCAACTTGAAACTTGAGATGCTCATGGATAGTGAAACCTTTAAAGAGACAGAGAAACGTTATTGTTTTTCCGAAAGCGTTTGAACGAAGGGTTCTTCATTTAGAAACACTCCTGAAAAATTAAGTCTTCTCACAAGCATCTCACATTTTTACATCCCAAATCTTCAACTTTCAGATCTTTTACTTCGTGCTTCGTAGGCAGCAGTGGGTCGGACGAGACACCACGAAAGTGAACCCTTTGCGGGAATCGCGCGTGGCGAGTGCCAAAGTGTGCAACTGTCGTCGAAATGGTTTCAAGCTTGCACCCTGAGTCATGGAAGTTAGTAGAGGTACCAACCATAACCACTGCGCAAGCTCTGTTGGCTTTAGCCATGTGATTACTGCCGTAGTACTTTGGACGCATTATTTTTTTGATCGTAAGAGCGGAGCCCTAAGTTGAAGCCATAAGATCCGCACGGTGAGCTTTTTCATTGACTACAAGAACACTAAAAATTCCATCAGTGGCTACATAGTGTTTACAGCTATGCCCTTAACGTTTGCGCCTACTACAGACAACTGACGAAGTCCTTCCCAAAACCATGAAAACCATTAGAACTCCGTGGGGGCTTCTCAAGCCGCATGGAGAACAATCGAAAATCAGTAACAAAGGCCACGGCCAATCTACACCAGATGTGGAAACCACTGACCGCTGCATATTAACGAGACCCGTTCCCCTAGGGCAGGGATCTTTGCAAACGCGCTAGCGGCATGGCACAAGATGCTGGCAGCGACATCAAAGATGTCATGTTACAATGCCTTCAGCGCCCATCTCCCTTGTCGACTGTTCTACACCGCCCAGACCAGACCAGACCTCCCAAGATCGTGTGGCGCTAGCGCTACCTGCCATGGCTGAGATTCATGGTACGCTTCACTGGCGGACAGAACTGTTGGTGTTGCAGCGCTGTCATGTCTGAAGGCCCGATGTATGTATGGTGTAGGCGCCATCGGCGCAATTGCGCATGGCCCATTTCTATGCGCCAGGTTTTGGCCTAGCGCAAAACCACCTCTCCGTGCCGGCAACCTCATCGCTGCCGGCCGTCAGCGATGCCATGCTGTCAAGCCTTTCTTAGCCGAGGGAAGGAACTTGCTTGTTGCCCACCACACCACACGGTTGAACAGAAACTGATACCCATAGACTGGGCGCGTCCCTTCTCAAAGGTGAGCGACATCATTGCTAAGCTAGGAGAAAAACATTATTGGACGCGGACCTGCAGTTGGCTTTGGCCCCGAATTCCTACGTCGTCTTCTTCTCTGTCACAGCCTTCAGCCTCAACTGGTCAAAAGGTCTTCACCAGGTCCGTAGTGGCAAAGATGATGGGCTCCCGGTAGGCTTTGGCGAGTCTCCAGCAACATCTTCGCAGTGGTACGCTTGGGCATGGCGCAGCCAGGATGATGCTCACAAAACAGCCTACCTGCGTGCCAAGCAGGTTCTGCGACTGTGTTGCAAAAGTTTGCGCGGGTTGTGAATCTAGAGGCAGGAATCTCACAAGTCAGTCCAAGAATATCAAATAGACTATGGATTTGTGTTTGTCAAACACCTGTTCTAAGTAAGGTTGCCTTCGCATGCAGAGTTGCTGGGTTGTCCTGCATCTGTGCACGGTGGTCAGGAACTTAGTGACCTGTATTGGTTTCACCGTGGAGCCCCTTGTATTCAATGCTCTGTGGCAGGAGGGGCCGGCGGGGTAGAACTGAAACACTGCAGGCTATGATGTTGGCGGCGGCCTTTGTGAACAAGATCTGCAGTTGGAAGTTTCGCAGTTTCCATACGTGGTGCATTCTAGGTCACGTTCAGTGGAAGACAGGGGGAACGGTCATTGGGAACGAGGTGCGCTGTAGCAAGCCTAGTCAGAGGGTGGGCCGAAGCCCTTTGACGTCGGCGCACGAGGCGCTGAGCGTTTTTGTCATTTTGTTGTTGGCTTGCCCCGCGGCGCAGTTTTGTCTTCGGGCATCCTTTGCGTTGCTGCGCTGCGTACTTTTACTTAAGGGTTTTGTTGCGGGCGCTTCGACCTGAGCAGTCGGTTCATCGCGTCCCAAAGGTCGAGCCATGGATGCGTTCATCAAGCGTTTCGACAGTCAAAAACATCTGCGCGTTCTTCTGCAGGCAAGCATCCCAATGCGTGAGTCTGCGGGGCGCCGCTTTGACATGGCATCATGTTGTAGTAAATGCCATTAGGCCATTCATTGGACGCAGGTGTGGGTGTGCGCGGGGGTGCTTCGACTTGGGGCGGCTGTTTTGAACGTGGTTTTTATCTTTTGTTCAGAGGCCGGCGCAAAGCGGCAGCACGAAGCCAAAGGCGCCTAGCTTGAATCATTCATCAATTCATTTGCGTTGCTTTACATCTCGGCAAAGCGAAAGCTGCTTGGTGTTGGACTGAAGGACCCCTTGTTTATTTTCGCCCAAATCCTTGCGCGTGGCTCAATCATCAGCATGCATGTCAGAACCACCTGCATTTTGCCGCCTTCGCTTCTATCGCCCACTCTCTTCTTCCACGCGCCTTCTTCTCTTCTAAGTTTTTCCTCGCAGCTCTTCACTCTCGGTCCACCCGTCGTCTAGTTGTTGGGGAAGCACATAGGAGCTTAGCGGCTAAGGAGGCAAACTGGAAGGAGGGTTCTTCAAGGAAACACTTCACACAAGCAAAATAATCGTTGAGTGCAACTAACGGTTCCTGCATGTTGTTTTGACATGCGCGTTTTGTACTGACAGTCTTTGTTGGCTCCAGGTCTTGGCAAGCAGACATGTGGCACGGATCACTCAGAGACATGGTGAGTGGATAGTGGATACATGTTTAAATTTTGGGCAGTTCTATTTTGATTTTGTGGCTGGCGTTTCGCCAGCACTCATCTGCGCTGAGCTGGCATTAAGCCTTGGTAAACAATTTTTCCAAACCGGCACAGTGCCTGGTTGTAGACAAAATGCTACCAGCCCAAAGCTCAATTTTGCCTGAGTTGCAATAGTTCAGTGAAATGTTTTCCAAAGGCAAGTTGCTTGTAATGTGTCTCATGGTTGATTGTGTGTTTTTTCATTTTGTGTTCCTGCTGATCTTGCTGCATGTGGTTGCTGCTCAGATTTTGCTGCGCAGCAGGAATCCACAGAAGCCAACAGGAACTTACTACAGGGGCCTCCGAGTGAACTAGGCCGACGTCATTTCTGCAGTTCTGTACAACTTGGCTGTCGAAATAGGGGGGGCCATTCCCACCCGCTGGAATCTTGAAAGGGTACTGCCCCCAGGTCCGCACTCCCAGAAGGAAACCGATGGCAATGAAGCGCCAGACAATCAGCCAAAATGATTTTGCATTTCAGCAAGACTGTCCTGTGGTTCAAGAGGACGGTTCTTATGACATTCCCAGAGTCTCGCGCCGAAAGTTCTACGCTTAATGCTTAACTCCATCGGGCCACCGGATCCTTTGCCCCAGATGTGGGTTCTCGGCCGTGTAGAATTGGGCGCGAAGGCACCAACATCCCTTCGTGCAGCTAGGCACAGAACATGTTCTCGACGCCCAGCTGGTGTTTCTGCAATGGACGCCCTTCCAGCGTCCAGCCGTGCCGTCCTTCCTCGCCATCGCCAAGAAGCTAGTATTTTTCATTCCAGATTCAACAGCGCTAGTAGGTTGGAGGCCATCGCTACTAGTAACAAGAAGCTACTAGTAGTTCCTGGCATTGCTAGGAACAAGAAGCTACTAGGTGGAGGCCATCACCATTAGGTCGAGAATCTAGTTTTGTTCACATGATGTCACATGTGCGTTTAAAGGAATACCCAGTAACTCGTGACCTTACGCAGATGTTTGCTTGTCCCAAGTCTTTGCACAGCACTTGAGGGAAGGTGTATGGGGACCGTGCGTGGATCAACCTCTGAGAGCGCAGACGCATCATGATGCATCCATGCTTTAACTCTGGGGTGCGGTAGCATACATCATGTACACTTACAACTGTAACATAGCGCATTAGTTTTGTTATCAGAAAGAATAGAATAGCATAGCTGCCAGTTTGAAGACCACCATTCTGAGAGCCGATGCGTTCTTTTCAAATTTTCTCATCAGGACATGTGCAAACGCTGCGTGTTTACACAGCGCTCAATGCTATTGTTGCGTGCTTTGCTGCTGCAAGAGGCAACAACGTTGTTTTCTCACTTAGAATTCTTCCTACTTTAAGCGCTGGAGAATGAAAGACATCGTTGCCCGTGCCTGGAGATTTGAGGTCCCCGGTCCAGCAGTGACTGTGTTTGCCAAGATCTTGCCGCGCCGCTTGAAGGAGGACACAAAGAACCACGAAGACAAGGTTGCCGAACGTGTTTTGCATGTGTTCAAGGGCGTCCGCCCGAAACTTACACAATTTGCACGAGGAAGATTTGTAGGAACTGGAAACATGTACAATTACAATGCATATTGTACAATTTGCATGGTTTTGAAATATGCACAATGCACAAGCGAAGAATTGTGTTTTCTGGGGGAGTCGCTGGAACTGGAAAGTCGTTTAGGAAAAACGCTAAACCAAACTAAACAAACTGGAATAGACAGTTTTCAGTGCCATTCTTCATGGCAGAAGCCTCTTTACTAAACATACCAATTCGTTTGTAACTGACTTCTGTTGACCACAGTTGTTGATTTTTCGGAGGTGGGGGACATTTCCTCACTAAAGCAGATATAGAACCGAGTATCAGTGTGGTGTTAGGAAAGTTATTTTTTTCCGAGTTCACTCGCTTATTGGCTTATCTATCGTTTCTGCAGTAAACATGTTGAAAGCTGTTGCTACCAATCTAGAAAGAAGGTGTCTTCATATGAACACCTTTGATCGCTGAACTGTGACGTGAAATGCAGGCCATAGCTAGTAGAAAGATCCAATATAGTTTGCTAGTAGGAGCAAGGACGCTTCTAGCGCCTCCTGGCCTTACTACTAGGAGCAAGAAGCTACTAGGGGCTCCTAAAAATGTAAAAAAAGTTGATTGAGTGAAGTTTTCTAAACTCTAATATCATAGCAGTATAACAAATCAACATTTATTCATTAAAATTACACCACCATAGACCCCAAACAGGTGGGACAACGAAGCATTCCCAGGTCCACTTTTTGAGACATCAACAAGAAGGGAGACAAGAAGGGAGACAAAAGGAAACAGAAGCGAGTAGCAAGGACGCTATTAGGTGGAGACCATCGCAAGTAGGTTGGAGGCCATCGCTACTACGAGTCACAAGAAGCTAATAGTGGAATTATATGGAATTCTCTTCTATAAAAGCACACTGCAGATCGCTAGGCTGGGCTGGGCAACGCAGAGGTGTGTGTTGCACATGTTCTGCACACCCTGGCCCGCAAAACAGGTGGTCCTGATCATTGGTCTTTGCTTTGCGCAGTGGGCTGTGACTTCATTGTAGTGGCTGCAGCGGGTTGTTGAAGGTCAAAACAACCTCTTGTTCAAAAGTCCTTTGAGCGTACCAGTTGTTGCGTGATTTCAGCTCTTTTCGAAGGATGTGTTGCTTATTGCGAATTTCCATGCGGAGGTTGTTCTAGGGATTTCGACAGGGATAGATTTGTCCCATCACAGTACCTTTGCCTCTGTTGAAAATAGTTTGGAGATATTGTTAGGTTCTTGCGAACTTCAGTCATTCATATGCCAAAAATCCGAATTCTCTCCGCTATGGCGTTTGCGAGACGCAACTCGTTTCCCAGGACAACGCCCGAGACCTTCTGAAATTCTTGGCCAGGTGCCTGCCAAGCGATTTCGGGTGAATGTGGGTGCGCGTCGCCACGTGCCATGTCAAATTTCCTTGGTTTTGCTTAGAGAATCTTAGAGATCAGAATTTCCCACAGGCGTGCAGCGGAAGTGATGTGGGACTGCTGCTTGTGTATTTTTGATCATGGTTGAGAGTGATCAAGCTTTCGGAAACAAAGCATGATCAAGTTGCAGGAGATTCCGATGCACAACGCTGTTGCCTTGCTCGAGGCCCGGAGTTTTCATGTTTGCACATCATCAAGCAGGAAAGAACAGGAACTTTCAAAGTTCAATTCACGACCAATTGCAACCAGGAACTTTCAAAAGCTGGTGAGCAAGATTCTGCTTTGTGCCGACGGGTTGCTGCGAAGATTGGAGCCCTCTTGCCATCCGAGTACTACTTCATCGAGTACCCAAGCGCTGAATAGTGGCACTTGTTTCTACTAGCTTCTTGTTACTACTAGTAAGGCACCTGTTCCTAGTAGCGTGGCACTTGTTCCTAGTAGTTTGCAAGGGCAAGCAAAGGTTGAAAATGGTGACTGTCTCCCACGGTGCTGAAATATCATGAGAGGAGCGTGTAGATGCATCTCTTTTTGAGTGTGGGGGTGAATGGAGCCCCAAAAGACCTGTCAGCTAGTAAAACTACTCTTCGCTCAGGGGTTTTTGTACTTTTGACATTTCTTTCAAGGCTCTGGGCAAGGAAGCCTTGAAGAGGTAAGTCAGGGCATTGCAATTGATTCCCTGGTGAGGAATGTTTGTGTTTTGTTTGAAAGTGAGATGACTGTACCTATAATCTATAAACCTTACTGATGCAAATGATGCCTCAGCAATGACATGCATTTTCTGCATCGCCAACTCACTAAAAACGGCATCGACCAGCCCTAATACACCTCAGCTTTCGTAAAATCCTTTGCATACATGTTACATGTTGTTCAAAAGTGTCAGACTCCACCCAACTTTCCCTAACACAGCTGTTTGGCATGCAGGAGGCCTGGGACTATGCTTTGAAGGTCAAAAAGAAACCAGAGAACAGTATCGTTGATTCTGGCGAGAGCAAAAACATAGAAAAGTAGAGATATCGACAGAAAAGTGCATAAAAAGATGTAGAAGGTGGTCAAGATAAAAGGTACGGACGTGTTGGACAAATAATACATTTAAAGAACGCATAGAATTGGCATTGAAGTTCTTTTGCGTGTTGAGCTGACAACACTACATGGCAACTTGTATGGCCTGATTTAATGTGTTGACTTGAAAGTGCCCCTAATAGCGTCCGAACGCTCCTAGTGGCGATGCCCTTTGCTCCTAGTAGCGTCCTTGTTACTACTAGTAAGGCACCTGTTCCTAGTAGCGATGCACTTGTTCCTACTAGCTTCTTTGCTCCTAGTAGTATGGCCAGCCCCGTTCGTAGCGTCCAATCGAGAACCAAGTGTGCCGAGAGGGCGAGCGGTCAGAATGTCCAAGCCCTTCTGACCCATTGTGCCAAACAGCGGTCATACAAGCTTCTAGTAGGAACAAGTGCATCGCTTCTAGTAACAAGTGCCTTACTAGTAGTAACAAGAAGCTATTACTTACTTTACTTTAATTTTAATTTAATTCTAATAGCTTCTTGTTTCTAGAAGCGAGGCACCTGTTACTACTAGTAAGGCACTTGTTACTAGAAGCGAATATATACTCTAAGTTACTGCCGAACTCGTGAAAATTGCCAAGTTTGATCTGTGATGGCAGACGCCAATCAAAGACCTCAGCCAGGAAGGTTTCTTCTGTGGGGTTCGTGCAATTGCTTCAGCACAAAAATTATTGAACAGCGGGTGCAGAGCCCTTGCATAACGGCTGAGCATTCACCGGCTAATTCTAAATTTACCCAATGCCTCCACCCATGCGCAGTGCAGCCTAAGCCTTGGCGTGTTCTACCTGTGATGAGGATTGAGGAAAAAGGCTTCGTGAAATAGGACTCGGTATACACGACCCTTTGGTGGAGCATGAAAGTTTGCGGTGCTGTGGATTAGCGCGGATGCCTTTTTGGTATCGGTATAATGGCGAGAGAAGAACTGTGACTTAAACACTTTGTGAACAGACATGAGAAGCACAGCGCTGGCACAGCACATGATCCCGATCAGCTTTGCTCTCAAAGGCAGAATGATGCCGCGCTGCCTGGAAGAGCTGCTCTTGCCTTTGCAGCACAAGGTTGGAGTGAAATGTGTCAAGACGAAGTACAAGCTTGTAGTCTCAAAACGGCCTTTGTTATCAGATTGCTTGTAGGTTGGAGGCCATTTCTATTGCTAGTTTGCATTGTCGTTTGCATGTCTACGTCATGCTTGTGCTGCGCTAAAAGACGTGGAGAATTGTCGATTCCAAAAAGGCCACCGGAATTTACTCCTTTTCCAGCACCTTGCTGATGTGGCGTTGAAGCACCTCCAAGGCGTGTTTCTTCACTTTGCCTTGCCAGACGTACTATTTCCACAGTATGGCATACGATTGAACGTCAGATGTATTTCTTGGAAAAATATGTTGAAGTTGTTTGAGAAATTTGACATGTGTTTACAATGTTTTTCATATTTGTCGCCTCATTTCACGACGCGCGGCGTGCCTCAAGTTATTGTGGAGCGCAAGGTTCACAACCTGCAATTGATTCTGTACAGTCTGCACAGAAAGTCTTGGACAGCTGAGGACTCGGGACTCACAGTGCTCAAAGGTATCTCTAGACAAACGCAACCTTTGGCAAATGCCCATAGTTTGAGCTGTCGGCTTTTGAGGCATGGAGCAATTAGACATCGAGACTCATGAGGCAGTGCGAAGAGTTGCTTTGATGTGATTGAACACATGCATTCCAGTACATGCTTCCGCTAGTAGGTTGGAGGCTATCACTATTAGGTTGCAGGCCATCGTTAGTAGATTGAACACCTGCATTGAAGTACATGCTTCAGCGTATACGACACCATCCCCACGCCCCGAGGCATCGTCATTGCGATCTGCTTTGGAGGTTTCCTCTCGCTGTCGGATTCCGTTTCAATGCCGATATTGGGTCCCCTGCCTCACCCAAGACAACGGACAACAAGGTGGGTGGATGCGCAAATGACACATTAAAAGGTAAATCTATTCAGGAAAACATGTTTTCAGCCTGCTTGTACAAAGCAAGAAGACATCAAAATCCAAGGATGTTTTCAAGAATGGGCTAACGCCCTGGTCTTGCCGACCCGGTTTCTCCGCGGAGCGGAGATCACAGACATTGCTTGACAGGACGTTTGGACTAAACAATTTCTCCCCCCTGAGAGCAATGTCCTCCAACCTACTAGCGATGGCCTCCAACCTACTAGGATCAATTGCCTGTGGTTGTGGTGAACGTTGAAAAGAGGGGAAGCCACGCCGCAGCGAGTGTCCTCATCCCCCCTGATTGCTGCCTCTAGGCGTAAAATTTGCATGTATTTTAGATTCGGAGTGCAAATGTCAGTATTTGAAGGGCAGAACTTAGGACCTAACAGACGACAATGTGTTCAAAAATTGAGAATCGGCATCGGATGTGAGTTGCCATCTTAGACCTAGCGGCTTGGGCTGCGCAGGAAGGAAGACCGCGCAAATCGAAATGTGCATCGTATAAGCTGAAGATAGTGAGGAATGGCATCCAACCTAATAGCAATGTAAGCTGAACCAATAGTGGATCGGTAGCCGCTTTTCGCGACTCAAAAACAGCCGCTGCTCCACACACATGTCCAAGACGCACCGACAAACTATTTGCGCTGCAAAGAAAACAATTAGGAAAGAGACCATCGCTACTAGGGTGGAGGCTATCACTAGTAGTGATGTTTTGTCATACACGTCCGTCAAGACATGTACATCATGCCTGTGGCCTTGTGCGACGTGTTACGCATAGAGACACAGACGTGGATGGCGATACCAAAGTGCAACAGCTTGTATCCGCCAACCACCCTCACACATCGCGTGGTGAGTAAACTGCTTTTGGTTTGCCCG